GGAAGAGAAAGGATGCAGGCCTTCCCTGTGAGACAGGGTGGCGAGCTCAGGAATTGCTGAACCCACCCTTCGCAGAAGCCCCTACTGTCAGGGGCCTCCACTTCTCCCATCTATTGCCTGGTGATTAACTTTGCTCCCTGATGCCTCCCTAAAGAGAAGACGCTTTGTCCAGCATCCATGTCATCACCCCCACTCTCATCCTCATGTTGGACTAGCCTGGGGGCTCTGTGGACCCATCTGCTCAGGCTCTGTGTCTCCGCTCATATCCTCACCCCGGGATAGTCCTATTAATTCAGCTTCTCAGTGTGTGTTCTTCCTGTGGTGCTAGGAAATATACAACTGTCGCCCTGGGGGACATTTTTGTTCAGGCCAAAATCGAGACAGCTCACCACCTTCTCGTCAGATAGAAGAGCCAGAATGGGAGAAGCGAAGATCCATCAACCTGTCTGAGCTCATTGACGTGTACAGGTAGGGCAGACATCTGTCCGTGGTCACAGTGAGGTCTTCTGTAACTCACGTGCCTTGGAGTCTCTCAGTTTGGTTGGGTTGGTGAATAAGTGGGCAGAGGTTTAGGGGGAGACAGTGCTAGCCTTGATATCCCCTCTTATGGTCTGGTTAACATGTGTGAGAAATGTTCTTTTCTTTTTTTTTTTGAGACAGAGTCTCGCTTTGCCAGGCTAGAGTGAGGCCGCTGGACTCCAGCCACGCTCACAGCAACCTCAATCTCCTGCTCAAGCATCCTTTGCCTCAGCCTCCCAAGTAGCTGGGACTACAGGCAGCGCCACCATGCCGGCTAATTTTCTATATATACTGAGTTGCCATTAATTTCTTTATTTATAGTAGAGACAGGGTCTCACTCTTGCTCAGGATGGTTTCAAACTCCTGACCTTAAGCAATCTGCCCGCCTCGACCTCCCAGAGTGCTAGGATTACAGGTGTGAGCCACCACACGCGGCCAAAATGTTCTCTGATAACAAAATTGTTGGTGACCACCTGTAGGATCATGTCACATGCAGGCTACAAGGAAGGATGTGTGTTAGGGTTCTGAGTCCAAGTGGGTAGGGAGGCAGCTTTACTTGTTTGGGAAACTGTGCTGAGGATCAGACCTCTTTCCCTATATTTTCTCTTAGTTGAAGCATCGTTTTGACAGAAGCAAGAATAGCATCCATGGAATCTTATTTTTGATTCTTACTTCCTAACAGCATGTAGTTTGGCCACATGCAGTAGATGTTACCCATTTAACCTTGAGCCTGGGTAATAATTTTTTTTTTTTTTTTGAGACAGTCTCACTGTGTTGCCCAGGCTAGAGTGCCGTGGCGTCAGCCTAGCTCAAAGCAACCTCAAACTCCTGGGCTCAAGTGATCCTCTTGCTTCAGCCTCCTGAGTAGCTGGGACTACAGGCATGTGCCACCATGCCTGGCTAATTTTTTCTATATATTTTTTTAGTTGTCCAGTTAATTTCTTTCTATTTTTTCTTTTTAGTAGAGACAGGGTTTAACTCTTGCTCAGGCTGGTTTCGAACTCCTGAGCTTGAGTGGTCTGCCTGCCTCAGCCTCCCAGAGTGCTAGGATTACAGGCCTGAGCCTCCATGCCCGCCTGTTTTTTTTTTTTTCTATCAAAAGTTTCAAATCATTTTCTAGCATTTTCTTAGGCAGTATCATGTTGTTTTGGTGACTGTGACAGGTATTAAATAGCATGGTCCCCGTGGTACAGAGAAAGAAATAATTCCATGAAGCATATGCCAGGAGCTGCTGCTCAAGCTTGTTGACAATTTCAGGGCTCCCGTCCAAATCTCCTTCTGTCTTCCCTGCCATTATCCTTGGCTCTGTTACCTTTCTCAGAGCATCCAGTGTGAGAAGCATGGCACCTGTGAGTTCCTTTTGAACTGACATGCAGTGTTCTAGGGATCCTTGGTTTCTACAGGTCAAGAAAATAAGATTCTGGAACAACAGAGTACCCCACTTGTTAAGATGACAGTGGGACACGAATACAAGAGTATGTACAAATGTGTGTACACTGCGAGAAAAAGCCAAAATAAATGGCTCAGGAGTCTCATCCTGGCCAGAGAGTAAACTGTCTTGTTTAATTCAGTGATGGTGTCGAGCTGCTCCAGATGGTGAAGGCGCCAGATTCCAACTGCAGCAACCTTCTGATTACAACCAGACAAGGCCTCGTCCTGCTTCGGGGGCAAAATCTTACACCGTACTGGACAGTGAGCCTTCAAGGCCTGCACAGGTTTGCAGCGTGCTCCTTCTCGTGTTTGCTGTTTTGATCACTTTTCCGTCTTTAAAAGTTGCCTAGAACGATTGCTTGGTATGTGGGGTTGCTGCGAGAGAACGGAGGGAAAGAGTTTCTAGTTTTCCTGTTTTTCTCATTTGCTGAGTGCTTGCTTTTCTTTGTCTGCAGCCAGCCCACTCCTGGGTATTTCACCGATGATCACACGCTAGACTTCCTTCTGCAGATACAGGATGGAGTTGGGATGAAAAAGGTAAGATTTTGGGACTCAAATCAATCAAAACTTGTGTAAACTATATACTTCATGTCCAGTCTTGTGCTAGGTACCGTGAGGAATAAAAAGAACCTAAAATGCAGTCTCTTCTTCAAAGAACTCAAAGGCTAGGTAAACAGACAAAATAAAAACCCACCGTTCAGTGCTACAATAGATAGCAGTGGGAGCTGTTCTAGGATAATGTCCTTCCTGTGTGGGAGTTCCTTCTTCTGGGTCCCTAACTTACAGTTAGTATTAGGAGCCTTCTGAACTCTCCTGGTGGGGAAAGGCAGGCGTAAATACATTTAACACTTCTACCTAAGATTTCAGGGAAGGCAGGGTATCTGTGGTTGCTGGGTTTTTATGGAAGACTTCATACAGGAGGAAAACATGAGCAGAGCCTTACAAGCTGAATTGTGTCTATGTGGCCAGGAAGGCAAGCCAGGTCAGGAACACCACCGGCAGAGGCCCAGCGATAGAAATGGTGTGGCGTGTTCCAAGGCACCCAGTAGATCTTTCTGATTTTACATGAGGTTGCATATTGTGAAGATAGAATAATTGGCTTGACCATTTTCATTCCTTTAACATTACAGGCAGAATTACAGAATTTTAAAAATCGCCCTAGCGTTTTGGTTTATCTTCACCATGAAATATATATTGATACATGCACACTGTTCTCTGAGAGAGAAAAAGAATTCAACACTCAACTTCGTCACCACCTCCATGTATGCCAAGTTCTGTGCTAGACTCTGGAGACACAAAATTAATGAAGGCAGGGCCTCTGCACATGTGTAGTTCTAGTTCACTGGGCCACCCAGACTGCACAGCTCTACCAGGTCATGGGAGGTGCTATTGTGGAGGTTTGCATGCACGGGGGGCACAGGGAGCGGATACCGTGCTCACAAGCTGAAGGGCCAGGGAGTCAAGAGATGCCTCCTGTCTGTCAGGGGTTGCGTGTGCAGCTTCGTGAGAGCAGAGGAGAGGTTTGCTCAGTGGATGGATTCACGAGCTGAGCTGCATTTCCTCTAGAGAGACATCAGAATGAGGTCAGCTTACAGAGGGCCCCGAAAGCAAGGCTGCAGAATTTGCACGAGGTGTTGGAGGCGGTGGGGTTGTTTGGTCATGGACAGAGGACAGATCCAGTAATATGAGCATCACTTCAGGAGGAGCCTTCCCACAGTGCTGTATGGGAAGGAAGCAGTGTGTGCTTGTAATTCAAGGGACTCTCAGATACGCACTGGAATTGTCACTGGTGTACCTGGGAGGATTAAGTGAGAGAGTTGGGTAAAAACCGAGATACTGAGAGTTTTAATCTTACTGGTGACCTTGGTGACTTACTGGTGACTTACTGGTGACCTTGGGCAAATTGTATAATCTTGTCTAGCTGCAGTTTCTGAATTTATGAAGCACAGATAATAATATTACCTGCCTTCATCGGGTTATTGTGACAGTTAAATGAATTATTATACGTGTGTAGCTGGATAAAACTTTTTAGTGTGGTGGCTCAAGATTTCTTTTCTCCCCAGGACTACCAAAGGGAATCTTTAACTTCGAGTCTGTTTTTTCCTCTCTGCTCATTCAGAGGAGTTTGTCTCTGCCACGTTGGTTCCAGGACCTTTTGTGGTGTGGAGTTCGAGTAAGGGCAGGGAAGGGCAGGGCTCAGGAAATGGAAAGAACAGGGCGAGTGACTGTGCAAAGAGGTTACGGAAGCACAGAGGCACTGAGGGCAGAAGGAGTAAAGGCACCTGGGCTGGAGGTGGGGGCAGGGGGAGCTTCCTGGGGATTTGGCAAATGGAGGCCCTAGACCTGGGAGGCAGGAGGTGTTTGATAAGCGCCGCTGGGGGCTGTGAACATGATCCCCTTCATTAGCCTTAGAGAGATGCAACTAAGGAACAGAATTCCTGTTTTTTCTTTGCCTGTTCAAACTGTTCCTTTAAATGTGAGACTACTCTAGAGATGAACTGCCCATGCCGTGACACCAAGAGTCAACTCCATAAAGCTCGTAGGAGGGTGCACAGGGCAGTGTTGACGGAATCCTTGTTTCCTAGGTGGTGGTTGCAGCTGTGGGAGTTGCAGGGGCAGTCAGGTGCTGCAGCTGGCGTCTGTGGAGTGGCTGCGCTCTCCGTCTGAGGACTGTCCTAACCTTGGGCAGTGCACGTCACTTTCTGTCTCTGTGCCTCCTTTCCTCATGTGTCACATGAGGGGGACTAGAGGATTTGTAATGTCCCCTTCCCACTTGAGAGCTCTGCAGGACGTTAAGCTCTGTTCAGCGGGACCAGGGCTACAGAAGCTCGGGTCCTGGGCCCCGGCTGTTATCCGGTGCTCTCTGAACGCCCAGTTTGCCTGCATCTCAGAAGCTCAACCTGTTAAGATATGTGTCGCCTGAGTACTTGTGGGGTCCTCTTTGTCTTGTTTCTTGTTTCCATGTGTTTTCTTGGCCTATTGCTTTTCCCAGGCTGGCCATGTTCACTCTCCGTGTTCTCTTTTGCAGATGATGGTGGTGGATGGTGAATCTGGCTCCATGGTTTGGAGTTACAGCATTCCGTGTCATATGAAAGAAACGCCAGCCACTTCAGCAGTGACCTCAGACCAGAAGTCTGTCTTCCTCTTCTGGGCGGAGGGGCTGTCAGCCGCGTCTCCCAACTCCGTGAGTGAGCCGGGGAGGGTCCCTTTCTCACCTCGTCAGCTGGCAGCTGCTCTGCAAGGCTGCCTGGCCAGTCACCTTCCAAGACGTTAGGGGTAGAAACAAATCAGCGCTCACTGGAACAGCAGGGCCCTTGTTTCCGCCTGAGCCACGCTTCCCTGCCTTTGCCTCTCAGCCGAGAACGTGAACGCTGACAACAGCCCCTCACTACTGGCTCCGGCAGTGGGAGGCTCACTGAAGAATAAAAAGTCCTCCCAAGATACGAGATCCAAATTTGCAGATAATTCCTATGTGCTGTAGTTGTTGAGGAGGAGAAATCACTTTGAGTGATGTGGAGTGAGCAGAGACAGCTTCGAGGAGGGGTGAGGCTGGGCTTTGAGGGGCAGTTGCCGAGAATGCAGGGACAGGTGGGGAGGGCTGGCCAGCAGTTGGAGAGGGACATCGACCAGGCAGGAGCTGAGAGGTCCATCGGAGAGATTATGAGAGAGAAGGTCTGACATCTAGAAGGCAGATTTTAGGAAGACTTAAATGTCACACTGCGGTATTTCAATGGGGTTGACGAAGCAGGGTGCCACCCATAGTAGGTGCCTGGGAGTCGTTAGTGAGACCCACCCTGACTTAGTTCAACGAACACATGTTGACTGACACCTGCTGTGTGCCAGGCAGAGAGTGCTACTCAGCCCTTACCAGCTATCCCTGGACTATTAGGTTATTATCGTCTTCCCAATGTATTCTTTCCCAATGGGAGCCAATCAAGTGATTCCGTGGAACTCTGGAACCCAGTAAAACCTACTGACATTGCTACATGTACTTTTCAGGTATTTTTAAAAAAATATTCTTTTCTGCTCTTCGGGGAGCATTGGCTAGTAGATAAAAATTCAATATTGTCCCTGCTCTGTATTAAATACTGATAGTCTAATTTATTACTTCGGTTTTTGCTTCTTTTTTTTTTTTTTTTTTTTCAAGAGAGTCTCACCTTGTTGCCCCAGCTTAGAGTGCAGTAAGATATGTATATAATATATATTAGTTGCCAGTGAATTTCTTTCTATTTTTTAGTAGAGATGGGTCTCCTCTTGCTCAAGCTGGTTCAAACTCCTAACTTTGAGTGATCACCCGCCTTGTGCCTCCTAGAGTGCTGATTACAGGTGTGAGCCACCATGTCCAGCAATGACACTTTTTCATATTCTTGATTTTGCTCGTCATTTTCTTAGGCAAACATCTGGTGCCAGAGGTGGCAAGGCATTTGCAAGGCACTGAGGAGGGCAAGGTGTTAACGAGTAGTCTTTTCTCCTTAAGATTCACTAGTTTCGTGGGCTGGGGCAGCAGACGGTTAAGAAGTGTTAGGAAAGTGCAGAAAAAAGTGGAGATATATTTGAGCAGTGGAGGAGCCACAGCCCTTGACTTACGTGAGACAGCGTGGTCTAGCAGGAATGGCAGGCACTGTGGTTCAGACTTGTTGCAGGAACGTGGCGGAGCTGGATACGCGTGGTGTGCGTCTGCGCTACCGCCATCCACGTTTGTTTTCTGGCCTTCTGCTCAGCTCCGCTCTTTATCTCACTTGCCTGCCTCTCCTCCTTATCTTTCTGTGTGCTTTTAGGTTCCAGACACAAGCTGCTCAATCTTGTGTGCCTTTCGGGGATAATGCAGCACTGCTGTGGTCGAGTCCCTCCCAGGAGGCCCGAGATATCACGTGTTTGGACCTGGTGCCAGGAGGTTCGGCTGAACCGTCTCTGGTGACAGAACTCACAGATGGCTCAGCGCCTTCAATGCAACGTCAGGTAGAGACCACGGGCCGCAAAAGGCTTTGCTTCTGGTGACCATGATTTGGATTTAGAACAAACCCCAGCAGAAGGAACTTCTGCCTCGACCATGTAGAGAGTCTGATTACTGCTCGGCCAGGTGGTATTTAGGACAATACAGAGACTGATCTGGATAATTGAAAAATAGATCATAGGTTCAACTTGCTTGGTGGATAGGATGGGCTTCAACTTGATTATCCAACAGAAACTACCCTGAGACCTTGGGTATATAAAAATAGTCTCTACTTTTCTTGTACAACGAGACAAGTGACTCTTGTCTCTTCATATTTTATATACATCAGTCACTAGATATTAAACTTGGACATTAAGCATTTATTAAATTAAAAATTATGCAAGTGAAGAAAACTAGCTTTGTTGAGGCTTATGGATTTGGCCTTTAGCTTCTTGTTGCATTCAGACATACATGACAAAAGGAATGAAAAAGAACCATGATGAAGGTTCTCTTACAGAGTCAAAGTGTACTGCCGAGATGCTCGTACCGTCTGGACCATGCACTCAGCGCAGCTGAATAAATAACATCCTTCCCTAGGATTGGAGGGGTGGAGTTTGTTAGGCGGGGTATTCTGAGTGAAAAACATTGGGATATGGGTTAACTCTAGACACAAAGTCACCTTGAAAACCTCCTATGATTCCTCAGTGCTTACTTCTGTGAACATGTGAAAGGAGGGAGGTGGGTTTTCTGGTCGGCTGCCCCGGCTGTTCCTTAATAGTCTAAAACCTCTACGGTCAGCGCTCCTACCCAGACCAGTGACACTCCTTTCTGGAAAGACTTTGGCACCTCCATTTTGTGAAGATTAGTGTGAAGTTAGCGCATGGATTTAGCCAATAGTTAAGGATTTCAGACCCACCTTCTCCTCCTTTCTTCCTCAGTAAGATAAGACTAAAGAAAGAATAAGTTAGAGTTGTGCTCTTCTGTTCAGACAGCTTTTGCTTGTTGTTTGGGACATTCACCTGCCTTTGCAGAGGCAGAAAGCTGTGGCAGTGATCAAGCCTACTTGTCCTTCCCAGGGAAAGCCATTTGGACTTTAAAACTCAAACTACTTATCCCAACGGCACCTTGGCTGCCCCGGTCGTTGGTGTGCCGGATTGGACGAAGATGGCGTTAGAGACTTGTGGGTTCTGGCCATTGGAGGAATTGCAAGTATGATCTTTATGAAGTGATTTTTGTTCTTCAGGAATGTTCAATATCATAATGCTGCTTGAACTTTCTTTTTTAAGGGCTTTAGGTTTAAGTAAATTCTCTTTGTAAGATTGAGTGAATATAATGACCATTATGAATCTGTTTTTCCCTGCAGTCTCACTATGGTTCCATGGTGCGTGTGGTGTAAGGAGCTTTGTAGCCAGATAGGTCTCGTGTGTGAATTCCTTGGTAGCTTTGTAGACTTGTGCCTGGGCAAGCCATGGAGCCCTTATTCAAGCTCTGGTTCTATTCATAGTAAGTGGCAAGTTATATCTTACCTGCTTGTAGATTGTTATGAAAGTTTAGAGCTAACATTTAAAGTGCCTATTTTTTTTACCATCGTATATTCTTGTTAATTTTACTATATTACCTTTATAATAATATAATATTAAACTTAATTTCAATTAAAAAATGGAAGACTGGATAGAAAAAGTTCATAAAATATACTATAGAAAAAATCAAGTCAAGCCATAATAACAATGAGCAAAGAAAGCAGAGTGTGGATCTAGGCTGTGAGTGCAGGCACCTGATTCAGGACAGGGCCTTTGATTATGCTCTAGAATCTGCTTGCGGAATTAGTATTAAGTTATGAAAACTCCAGCCACTTGTCCACAGTGAGCATGAATCAGGTGGTTGGGGAGGAAGAAAGAGTTTTTGTCCAACAAAGAGAGAAAAATGGTAGACCTTCCTGTTTCAAAAATCCCAAATTTCCCCCGCAACATGGCAGAATACAGAGCTTTTAAAGGGAGGGTTCTCGGCTCCAGGCCAATACTGTGGCTAACTATTCTTTTTTTTTTTTTTAAGACAGGTCTCACTCTGTTGCCCCGGGCTAAAGTGTCATGGCATCAGCCTAGCTCACAGCAACCTCAAACTCCTGGGCTCAAGCAATCCTCCTGCCTCAGCCTCCCAAGTAGCTGGCACTACAGGCATCCGCCATCCATGCCTGGCTAATTTTTTCCATATATTTCTAGTTGTCCGACTAATTTCTTCTATTTTTAGTAAGAGACAGGTCGCTCCTTGCTCAGGCTGGTCTCCGAACCCTGACCCAAGTGATCCTCCTGCCTCGGCCTCCCATAGTGCTAGGATTACAGGCGTGTAGGCCTGTGGTTAACTATTCTAATCCTCCCATCTCTGCCAAAGACAAAGGCTGTGAACCCCCATCCACCCACCTGGGGGCTGGCCCCACCAGTGAATTTTAACAAAAGACTTAATCCGCCTCAGGGATGCAGGCCAGAATGCAGTTCCCAAAAAAGTGGGGGAAATTTTGAGGAGACAGAAAATTCTTGCCATTTGTTTTTCCTCAGGCCATTCCCTTTGTTACAAGTACCCTGGAACTATTATTTCTGTATACTGATAAAATAAGAGTATCTTCCGCCAAATCACAGGAATGAATACATTAATGAATAGAATTGTCTTAATTTTAAGTTTTTATTCCTGGGCTTTTCTCAGAGATTTCGTCAAAGTTTCTCTGAGACTTTCTCTCAGACTTCCTAATGTGAGTCTGCTTCTGCACAAGAGAATCGAACAATTGGCAAAGAATGTCTGTGGAAAAATGTGGGGCTTATTTAATTTTAAGGACTTTATGTTTCTCTTTGTGAGTTTCGTGTTGCATATATGGAGTAGAGTTATAAATTCTGCAGCTAAAATTATGTAGAATGGAATTAAGTCTGTTGATATTTTGTGTTTCTCCAAGAGCACCCACAGACTTGAAATGCTCCACCAATCACAAGTTGTGAAAGCACTGCTCCAGGACACCAGGTGATGCCTTGTGTTGTGAGAGGAGAGGAAAGATCAAGAGTGAGCTAAATTTCTGAAGGCTGCCTACTTTGAAGGTCCTTTCTGTTAGTTTTCTTCAGGTAGCTGGTTGGTGTCGAAGTGGACCTAAAGCAAGAGTTCAGGAACTATCCATGTAATTTTTTTTTTTTTTTTTTAATCCCAGCCATTTCGAATAAGGAGACTAGTGACCAGGGACAATTGCAGGTATCACCTCCAGCAGGAAGTGA